TCACGATTTCTCAAAAACGGCTTGACCGATCTAGCAGAATTTCATTCCATAGTTAGCCTCAATTCTTACCTACTATTTGACAAAATTTCAAATTTTTTGGAATTTTTTTACCCACCTTTATCTTGTCTTAACTAAAAAATCACCCATGGCCAGGGGGCACCACGCACAGACATTCTGAAAAACTTTTGTATTTTTACATTTCAGACCATTCTAGATCGTTTCCAAGCAAAATTAGAATTTTTTTTTTGGTCGCGATCGCACGATTGCAATGCTTCCATCCGGAAGCAAAAATAACCTAGGCCAACTTGCTCCGCTTCATCCGGCTCATTCTCTGACTCACTCTCCTCCGTGGAATATCCACCATCATCCTCATCCTCCTCATCCTCTTCAGCCTCCACAATCTCCTCTGCTTCCATTCTCTCTTCATTTCTGTTCCCATCCATATTGTTCTCCGCATCTGCCATTTTTCTATTTTTTCACTGTGATATCCGTAAATTATTTAAATATTCAGGCCACTTTCAATAAATTAAAAGTTTCTGCAATACATTGGATTTCGCAATTGTCTGTCGACAATTCTGAAATCACTCCAAATAACTTGGACTACTTAAAGTGCGGGAAAATACAACATCAAAGTAGAACAATAATCAGCGAAAATTCGACCATGTGACGAAACATCACACCTCGAATTTTCGCCACCACCTACTCCCACTCCAATTAGCTAACGCCCAAATTCAAATCATTAAAACTAAATTCAGAACAATTAAAGTCCAGTCGCGGAAAAATTGTGGAACCCAACGGTTAACTCCCTGGAGATAAATTTCGAGTCACATTTATCTTTTAAAATCGGACTACAGCCACGGCACCGATATTAACAATATCTTTTTGAATTACGGCGGTTAATTAATAAATCTTCCACGTAACATCGATATTATTCGGTTAAATTGATCGTTGCCTGTGATCCGTGAGATTACTGACATTTTTCGAATTTTCTCCATTTTTAAATCACACTCAAAATCATTTAGAGCTTCCGCGGCTCCAAACGCTCTTTTGATACATTTTAAAGTGTGATTTCTCTTTTCTTTCCAAGTCTGAAACGCGGATTTTGGAAATTCCGTCGGTTTTATAAATTGTGAAACCGGTCGTGTCAAATTTACTCGGTGTGGCCGATAAACATTGGAGCCCACTGTATTTTACTGCAAAATTCTGAGATCCAGAGGACGCATACGAGCACCCCTGGATAAATATAAATAAATCGAACCATACTGACAGAATCTGAAACTGTAAGCAGATTTTAAACATATTAAAATTGTAACTTTTACACCCATCCCATCGAAAATTTTGAATTGTATAGAATCAAGTAAAAGATAAGAAATTGTCAAGAATCACGTTTTATAAAAAAGAATAATAACTCTCGAGTATTGTACGCAAGTCGGTATTAGTAAATAAATATTCTGAGTAGACATTGAACATCTGGTTTTAAGAAGTCAAAACTACCCTTCTCTTCCAGACATTTTTAACCAATTCTTTCAGAAATAAAGGCAAAATAGAGACTACGCAAACTGTTAGAAATACCATCAGCTGACAGGGCACTCACACACAATCACGCGCGGCTCATCCATTCTTTCCCCACTCACGCACACCTAACGCTTTCACCTCAGATGACCAAGGGGTCATCACTTTTGACACCTGAGGCGCCACTTCCTGGACAGCTCACCTTGATTCTGTATAAATAATATAATCAGGTCATGTGACCGCCTCAACTGTATCACCTGCCAAATTATAGCAGGATTATCTCCCTCATTAGCATATTCACCGTGAAACTGTGTATACAATGAATGTGAATTCTTTGACCCGCTCAACGCTTCCTGAAAATCCATCCCCATCTCATCCATCCTCATCTCGTCCATCCGCTCAATATTCCTACACAACCAGGCATCTCATTAAACATTTTGGTCCTTCGAGCCGGATATGGGGAATATTTTTTTTGCTTTTTATCGGATTCGCGCGGCATCAGAGTGATTTACGCGGGAGTGTGGAAATTCAGTGCAGCTCATCCATCAGGACTGTCTCAATCCCAGGCAGTACTCCACTCAGCGGCCAGGACCGTATCACGAGTCTCCAGTGCCCAGCTCACCGAGTCAGGACCACCCTACAGAACCGAGGGTCCCGCTCATTCATCAGGGTCGTACTAGCCACACTGCAGATCCGCCCCAGGACGTCAAAATAATTGCACCACTGGCTAAGTAGTCTTTCATTATTATCCGAGGGTTAATTTCGGTTTTCGGCTTTTGCTGTGGTTAACGCTCGCTGGCTATCGCTACCGCTATTATTGTTATTTCTGCCTTTTTTGGAATTTTATTTTCTCATTTCTTGCGCCTGCTCTACAGAACCGCTCACACGCACAGCTTCTCACGCTATCACGTTTCTCGCTTTTTTGCTCTTGCTTTCGCTTCATAGTCTCCCTGATCGGCTTTTGTGGTCACCTTATTCTGTTACTACTATTTTTTTGAGCTGCTCATTTATTATCAATTATGGCATCATTTGAGGCGACCATTAGCCTAAACCAATCGCGGGCGGCGTTCATTGAGTACATTCATAAGGAGCTGCTCACAGAAGAAGCGAAAAGCCTCACGATCTCGAATCTTCGGAGTAAACTGGAGATACTGGAGACTTACTGGGAGAAATTCGAGAGTACCCATGAGAAGCTCATTGCGAGCAGTGGGAAGATCGAGGCGGTTCTTGAATTGTCGTATTTTAGGGACAAGTGGTTTGACATTACCATCGGACATTATCACGAGGCTCGCGGAACATTGAATCAGCTCATTGATAAAAAGGGGGCTCTTCTCGTCGGTCTCTCTCGTCTGGTACAGCTCAGCTCACATACTCCAAGCGCTATCTTCCGCAGATTTCGCTGCCTAAATTGGGGGGGGGGGGGCTACGCAGAATAGCGCTCGTTCCGCCATCTTTTCGCATCTTTGGTCGGCTCAAACACGGATCTATCAAACGTCGAGAAGATGCATTATCTTCGCACTTGTCTGTCAGGGGAGGCTGCTCTCACCATCTCTGATGATTCCTTCGCGACGGCTTAGGATCTGCTCTTACGTCGCTACGAGAATACTCGCCTGCTCATCTCCACGCACCTCGAGCAGTTGGTCAACCCGCCATCTATGTCAGCTCACTCTGCGAAGGATCTGAATGCCCTGCTCACAGCAGTATCTGAGGCCCTGAATGCGCTCGAAGCTCTCGGCTCTCCTACGGCGCACTGGGACCAGGTGGTCAAGGCTCAGTCTGCAGGTCCAGCTCCACCTCCATCCGCTCCAGCCAACCCCAACACATCATGGGCAGATCAAGTATAAGGATCACCAGCTCAGACTGCCGTCTCCTGCTCAGCTCACCAGCAAGACTCAGGATCCGCTCAAGACTTCCGCCCTGGAGTCCTTCTGGCTACTAGCCTTGCGCTCTTGGTACGCTCAGATCTGCCAGCTGATCAGGTCCGCGTACTCATCGATCCAGAGTCGGAAATCTCCATCATCTCGGACCAGCTGGTCCGTCAACTGGGGCTTATGAGGCTCAAAACCCAGTTAAGGATCTCGGGAATTGGAGACACGGCATCTGGGCCGGCATTAGGCAAGGTTCAGCTCACAATACAGTCCACTCGCTCTCACTTTCAGCTCAGAGTTTCTGCCTATGCTCTCGGCAAGCTCACAACCTCATTACCGACGTTCTCATCAAGTCAGCTCACATGGGATCATCTGGAGGGACTTCAGCTCGCTGATCCCGATTTCCTCACACCAGCACCAATCGATATCCTTCTTGGCGCTGCTGTCTATGGACAGCTCATCTTACTCAACGTCATCACCAATGGACCTCACCTAACATCAGCTCAACTCACGCACTTTGGTTGGATTGTTTTCGGGCCCACGGAAGGCCCAAGTTCAGCTCACGTCATGACAGCTCACGTAGCGGTCTCTAACGACGATCTTAGAGGTTTCATGGCATCCAGGCAGGGATCATTTCAAGTTCTCGTCAGCTCAGCCAGCAACCAGCTCGATAACGAAGAGAATCATACTCTCGGAGACAGCTCAGCTCTTCGATCCACTCGGGTTCCTGGCCCCAATGGTGGTCCGAGCCAAGATCTTACTTCAAATGCTCTGGATAGTGAAACTCGGATGGGACGATCCGGTATCCCCGACAACTGCTCATCACTGGCGTCAATTTCGGGCTGAACTCTCACAGTTGTCGGAGGTCACCATTCCAAGGTGGCTTGGACTGCTCACGGATTCCGTCATGGAAAGACACGGGTTTTCCGATGCATCTCAAGTCGGCGGTGTCAGCCGTGGTCTATCTCAAGGTCCACAATGGCAGTGAACCTCTTCACATTACGCTCGTCTGCTCAAAAACCAAAGTTGCGCCGCTCAAACGACTGACAATCCCACGGCTTGAACTTACAGCCGCTCTTCTCCTTGCCAAACTCGTAGCCTACGTCAAAGGGCAGCTCAATCTCACGAATGCTTCCACCTTCCTTTGGACCGACTCATCAGTCACACTCACCTGGATCAGCTCACATTCATCAAGGTGGAAGGAGTCCGTGAAGAATCGGGTATCACTCATCCAGGAGCTCACACAGCACGCTCACTGGAGACTGGTACCTGGCAAAGAGAACCCAGCTGACTGCGCCTCTCGAGGTCTCTCAGCACCTCAATTGTCTGCTCATAAGCTCTGGTGGACAGGACCACCATGGCTTCAACAGAACGACTCAGCCTGGCCAGCTCACGTGCTCGAGAAAGACCTCGAAGCTAATCTCGAAGAACGACCTGGAGTTCTTCTTCACATGACTGCTCAATCTATCACTCTCTGGGATATCATCGGCAGGTTCTCACTGTTCAACCGTCTGCTCAGAGTCACCGCAATCTGCCGACGGTTCATCGCAAGGCTCAGGAAGGTACCCCATTCATCCTTGCGTTATCCACTCACTCTCGGCGACATTGAAGAGACTCGGATCTTCTGTATCAAGCTCACGCAGGCAGCTCACTTCAAGGACGAACTCAGGACTATCTCACGAGGAGAGAGATTCACTAGATCTCATCCTCTCACCAAGCTCACGCCCTTCATTGATCGCCAAGGAGTTCTCAGGGTCGGAGGCAGGCTCCGATTTGCTCAGCTCAACCCAGAGAGTAAAAAGCAGGTCATCCTTCCGAAGGATTCTAAACTGGCCCAACTACTCATCAGGCAGGCTCACCTCCAAACTTTACACGGAGGTACTCAGCTTACACTCAGGCAGCTCAGGAGCGGTTACTGGATTCTTGGCGGACGCTCACCAGTACTTTTTTTTTATGAGCTGCTGCGCGCGTACTCCGCGTTGACAAGTACAGGATACACACTAGAGTATGAAGGAGCGTACTGGTGAGCCCTCGGCTTCGCCTCGAGCATCATCACGCGCTGTGCCGGAAATTCAACTTTCTGCCCTTGTTGTGTAATATACTAATTTTTAATGCTTTCCTGATGAGGAATGACCTTTAACAATTATTTTGTGTCCAAACCATATTTGCAGCAGTTCCATAAATGAAATAAAATACTTGTCCATAATTCTGAGGTGGAGCAAGAACTTTACCCAGTAATTTGAAGCAAATAATTCGTGGATGAATAGTAATTATTGAGAAAATAAATATAACCCTGATAAGAATCCCAACGGCTGAAGATGAGAACAGGGTTTGGAAAGCCTTAGCTCACCAAGGCTGAGCGACTCGGGCCCAATTTCATTGTTTTCTAAGGCCTGAGGCTCCTTTCAGCCCTGGCCAGGACTGAGAATCAAAAGGCTAAAATTTTTTGAAGTACAACTTTAAAAAAATGATGGCAAGGAAATGGTTTTTAATTGTCGAAAGTTCAATAATTTACAGTTATGAGTAATAAATACTCTGAAAAAACATGACACTATTTTTCAATTTTCGCTGTTTTTAATCACAAGCATGGCTATGAAACCATAACACCTGTATCTATAACGATGGCATGTATTTAACATTTAATAATTCATCACAAGAACAATAATTGCACAATCATTAATCACAACAACAATAACGATAAAATGGAAAAAAAATTGCGACTATTCTAGTTAAAGCATCTCCATTAAAACTTGGTCATGCCAGTGGACACTTGCATTTTTTAGTTTTTTTCAGCTTTCAACAATATTATTTTACTGGTGATTCATTTCATCAAACAATAATAGTTGCAATATTGTTCGTGTCAGGCGGTCGGGCGATCAATGGTCCGATCCAACTTCAAATTTCAAGTTCAAACTCCAAATTTACCGACGTCGGTAGCTCAGTGGCTAGGTGCGAGCCTAGTGTTCTGAAAGGTGTGAGTTCGATTCCCCGTTGAATCGAATTTTTCAACAGGCACCGATGAGCGGGAGGTTGCTAATAGAGCAACCGTCTGTACCGACATGGTTTTTTCTGTGGTTTCCCATGTCACTCCACTTCCATAGGAGAGTGAATACGGTACAGTGTAGGATCCACAGCCGTATGCATAGGGTGAGATAGGGCCAATTAGCCAGAACAGGGCAGAAAGGGCCGGAATATTAAAAAAAAAAAAAAAAAATCAAGTTTTAATTTCAAATTTCAATTTCAAAAGTCAATTTCAAATTTTAATTACAAATGTAAATTTCAATAAATTAATGATAATAAATTACTGAGAAGAAAGCCACCGAAGTTTATTCTGCTGTTTTGAATTATTTCAAAATAGAACTCGCTCCAAATATCAGACCAACAACTATTCATAAAGACTTTGAAATTGCGACAAGTAATGCCTTACGGGTCGTTTATCCCGGAATCACCATCGTCACCTGTTATTTTCATCACGTCCAGGTATGATGGAGCCAATCAACGTACATAAAAACAACTCTTTCATTGCCCTGTGTGAAGTGATATTTTACGCACGCTTCGCATGTGTAAAACCTGATGCAGCAAATTGTAATGAAAAATAACGCTCGGAAGTTCAGATAAAGTTAACAAATAGGGTTGTGTTGAATTGTCTAGATTCAACTGAATACTCAATTGTCTTCACAGTTGAGATTTTAATTTAAGTGCGTTTTGGCGACGGAGGCGGATAACGGGCGACGGTTTCATCGACTGTCTAAAGACTCTAAACCGTTAAGCCTTTGGAGAAAGGGGATAATGCTATATTTCCTCTGAACTGTTAACAGTCTTTAGAGATAAGAATTCAGTATTGGTAGGTTCTGGGGAGGCACAGTAGAGGTATCATGTGCTCGCACAAACAAAACAGTTTTCTGATTGAAGTTGTTTTCGTCACTGAGGCCGTTGAAAACTTTCGTCACTTGGGACGACCTAACTTCGCTCTTTTCAGGCATTATATGACATAAATTACTAAACTATTAAGAGTTTAGAAAGGACATGAAACCTCCTCGTTTCGTTCTTTTGAATCTCCTAATACTGAACTTTTAGCTTTGAAGTCTGTTCAAACTTCAGTGGATTTCATGAGAGCCGCTGCCTTTACCCACCTTCGTTCCTACAACCCATGAAATCTTAACGCTTAACTGTGAAGAATGTTCAGAGTTCTGAGCGATCCGATAGCGTCTATAATATAACATAAAAATCTCAATAACCTGAAAGTTTCATCAACCGTTAACTTTCCCTTAACTGCTGGAACTATTCAAGAGTTTAACTCTCAATTTGATCATTTGAATATGGCTCCTTTACAAATTATGAATTCCTCTGCAGGCACTCTTCCACAGGCTGGAAAACTTCCACTCAAGGAAAATAATGACCTACTCATTCTACGATTCGCCTTTGGCATTAGTCTTTTTCCGCAAGCTCTCAGCACTAGCCCTGCGCCACCCCAGTGAAATCATGGAGGGATTTCGAGTGGCTCATTGCAAATACTGCACCAGACCTTCTCGGTTTTTTCGCTGATTTGATTACCTATTATCGTTCATATTGGTTAATTAAAGTAAAACCAGAGAATTATTCAGTACATGGACATCAGCAACGGACAAACAATTGCATTGAAGCATATCATAAAGTTCTACGTGATGAAACCGGGAAGCACCCCAATATTTGGGAATTGGCAGGTAAATGATAACAAAGGCATATGTATAAAAAGGACTCAATTGTATCTGACTGTCTAGACTCACAATGGATAGATTATGGTATAATAATTGAAAGGATAGTTTACCGAAGTTTCCCAACATTTCATCATTACAAACTTCACCTTTGCAAAAAATGACATTCTTTAAGCCTGAGTGAAGCCAATGTGGATTTGAAGCATTCCGATCATTCGGCTTCAATTCGTTCACCTCAAAATATTTTCACTTTCTTCGTGAAATAATGAAGTTTTCTACACATACCAAGAACGTGTCATCAGCTTTTTTATTACATAAACATCTTGTTACATAAGTATAAATTCTAGTTCACCTGAGAAATCTTCAGGAGAGAACACAGGCTGAAGTGTCTTCGCTAGAGATGGGACTACCTGTTAGACGTAAGACCCCAAGGATGCAGAGAGCACGTGAAGAAGCTTTCAACGAGTTGACCAAGTTGTCAGATGAGGGTTTGATTGATACTGCAAGGTATCTGACAATTTGCAATCATCTAAGTCCCTCTTTCAAAAATCCGTGGGTTATTGAAACTCCTCAACAGGTGCGCGAGTTTTCCCAAATAGCAGCTCATGATGTGGGTTCGTACAAACATTTCTGATTCTCAACTTTTCTGACAATTTCTATTGAACTTTTGGCTCTATTTACATATAATCACTTTACTGTCGATTGCCTGGATGAACTGTCGATTGTCTGTCAATCATACAACAATTTATGAAATATGGGATAAGGGAGAAAATGGACCCCCTTAGCAGAAACTTGTTCCTCAACTATTTTTGCCGCTGAAAACAGTAGCTCTGAACCGGAAAATCATCTACCTAAATTTGTGCAACGAGAAAAAAATCAAAATTGTAAGACATGATGGGTAGAATCGACCTCCCTCCCTCATAATTTGTTTTTCCGATTGTCCCAGAGTGACTCGTCGAGACCATAAAAGAACTATTAATTTGTGCTTCGTGGAAATAGTGTTTAACGTATCAGAAATCAGATCATAATTATTATTCCAAACTATAAAAAAGGGGGATCCATTTTACCCACATCGTCCATTTTACCGTCTTTTCCGTTATAACTCATGACTCATAAATGGATGAAAAATAGATTTCTAAGGATATTTTTCCCATATTCCTCATCAAAAAAGCTAAAAAGAAAACCAGAATCGTGCTCTTAATTGAATTTTATTTTTAGATAACCCATCACTGTTTCCTCCGCTCGAAACTCTTCCCAATGGCTGTTTGGATGAAACAATGCCAATTCGCTGGATTACAAAGACCCCACTTGGTGAAATCCCTGCAATCTGTGCTTGTAAGATGGTGCTATTGTCAATGAGTTTCCAATATACATATCACTAAAAATTCGTAATTCGTGAAATTATCATATTGTTTTAGTGGTCGACATCAAGAGGTCCTTATGCAAAGACTGTCAATCATTGATAGTAAATGTCATATGTGTGCCGTGCCAGCATTTTTTTTATTGCAAGGATTGCACTGAGGTGAAAATTCTGCAAGCTGAACGTCAAGGAGTCTTACCTAGGTGCCGAATTTGTCATCGATGTACTGTATACTTGCAGACAGTTCCAGTTTCCTGAATATGCTCAATTTCAGTTTTTTATATTGATTTTGACATGAATTTCGAACTTTTTTGGACTAAATGTCCAAACTATTAAAACGTAATTAAAACTCTCATCTGTTTCATCGATAATTGTGTATGAATAAAAATATATTAATTATTATTATTACTAGCGTATATGGCGCGCTCCTCTTACGCAGATGGATGTTATCGTATATATTTTTGAAAAATTCCACTATATATATATATATATATATATATGTATATACTGTGACGAGGCAGAATTTTGCGCCCCCCCCCCCTTGCCCCCTAATTAATACATGTTATTTTTGATAGATTAAGTTAGGTTTAAGTAATCTTTTTCGCCACCGTTGGGCAACCCATCCCCAGATACTCCTAACCCCCTCCCCGTTTTCCCTCCCCCTGGCACTCACGCATCAAGGAAGAGGATCCCACGTGACCCGGGAAGAAAGAGATACCCCTCGAGCGAGCCCCTGGATGAGAACAAGAAAGACACCTGATGACCCCGCCAAAAATCAGGGAAGAAGAGGTGAGGATGATTGGCAGACTTCACTCGTGCCAAAACTGCCCCACGAGTCACTGCCCCAGAAAGAATTAAAAGAGAACTTAGTGTAAAGAGACCCCGTGAACAGTTGCCCCGAAGAAACCCCGAACAATTTGTGAAGAGAACTGGTGAGAACTATTTTGAAAGAGAAAGACCGTGCGAAGGAGAA